TTTATGAACTTCAAGTTCATATTATCTTATTCGAGGATCTAGATGTATAAATGATAATTCATTCCAAGTAACCTTTTCTCAACTGTTTATCATGTCTCCCCCTCATGTTAGAAAAACTAACTTGTTTTCTCAACTTTGAGAACCCATCTTTGTGCGTTATGGTGTTAATCAAAATATACACCGCACATCAATAATAATAAGATGGAATTATTTGGTTCCTGACCATGAACCACCTGTGAGGGGAGAAATTAATATACTTTCGTATATAACGTATATCAAACTGGTATATAAAACTTTGTTCTCATAAGCAATTGTTTAGCTATTAAGTGGAGGCACTCAATAAATCATTTTGCTAAACCAGCTGTGATGTAGACCAACTTATCAAGATGAACTTCTTGAATAGAAAATCTGGAATATGCTCTAAATTAAATTATTGAGCAAGTTACCTCGCAAACACCATGTTGCGGGTTAATAATAATCGCACATGTAACCATTTCATAGATGCATCTTATGTGGTATACATGGCAGGTGAATGGGCCCATATTCACTTTTGATATTTCCAGCATTTATGGGATTCAATCCCAATCTTAGTTGGTATATTAATTAATGAGAACATGCAATGTAAGAGAATTCGTAAAGAACTTTCTAGTTCTTTAATATTTACCCATGTGAATTCTCTTTTATTTTTGCACATCATACTTGAATTAACATGGCTAAACCAATTATGCCAACTGGATAAATTATCAATATTGATAAACTTCAGGTTTACACCATGATGTGTGCAATTATGAATAAACTCCAAGTTTATTATGATAAGGGTTTTTATATCAATAAATATCCACTTCATTGTGGTATTCTTTTGTTTATGTAGTACAAATTGGAGAATAAAGCGAGTAGCTTTTCACATACATATTACCCCGCTACAAGATGTAGTAATAGAAGATATTAAATCTTTCCTTTATTTATAGTCTCAATATAATCAACCGCTTTCGCGTATACTTTGGAAACTGAATAAGTTTCTTTGAGACTTACTACAACACAATACCTTATTGGTAATTAATTGTGTTTCTCCAAAATAGTATAATTGGCTCTTGCAGAGTTCTCAATTAATTTTGTAGTACCACATATTCATCAACACCCATATGGTGAATATCTCTTTTAAAGAGAAAGTTATACCATTATGGTTATGGTCAAAATTATATGCAAGATCTGTTTTCTTGCATTACGGTTGACTTTTAATAATCACAATGCCAAAATATTTTGGCGTACAATAGGTACGTGACCAATGACCATTCATGCCATAATAATGATATTATTTTCTTATATCATCTCAAACCTCCTTCTAGAGGTGAGTGTGGTATATACCACTAGCACGCTCATATTCTTCCAAAAATGAATATGTATTCTTAAATCAGATGTTGTCACATTCACATCATGAATAGACCATAATCATCTATATGTGCTTTATAAAATCTCATGTCAAATCGATGACAAATATTTTCACAAGTGGGGGATTATTTTGAGAATCCTTATTATTCTCATTATCACAATGATGACGATTATAATTTCGCCTATTGCCACGTCCACATCCATTGATACATTCATAGTGATAATTTTGTCTTCTTTCAGACTTATCACATACTGCTATCACATTCTCTTAAGGGAATGAGAATGAAGCAAATTCAATGGGACGGGTTTCCACTTTTTGTGCCCATAATCATACATGAATTTGATCATGGCAAGACATAGAAACTTTTACCACTTCAGGTGGTTATAATTTCTTACAAACTCCATTAGAGTTGTTATCAAAATTTATTGTCTTTGTATTTAAAATCAAATTATAGAATAAAAGAGAAAAATACGGTAAAATACTTACCTTAAATCCAGAATTTAATCATGAATGAAGTTCATGGAATAATTGACAATCATTATGCTCAATCCCAAAGCTTCTACTCAATTGGTTAGAGTCTCGTGCTGATAACGTGTTATAAAACAATAAAAGAAGAAGAGTAGTATTGCAGAGAAAAGTAGAGAGAGAATTCTTATTAATTTGAGATCAATACAATGGAATAGAACCCTCTATTTATAGGGAGATAGTGACTTAACCACCAAGTAATAAACCCTAGAATCTCTCTAAATATAGACATTCACCATAAATACAATTCTATTTATAACAAATACGAATATAATGCTAATATATGATTTATTAAATGAAAAGTTTACACAATTGCCGAGAAGGATATGAGTAATCCATGAATTGACCTATGTCCCGCGGATTTTCGATTAAAACAAATCCAATCCACAACATTTGGTAATTAGCATTTCCATCCACCAATAATGCAAATCATACTATAATAATTCAAGTGGGAAATTAAAAAAATATAAATGTGGGTCCAATATAGCCATTTCCCTAAGATTTAGACCAAAATTAATACAATACTTTAGAAAGATCCATGCATCTTCGTCTGTTGTATGACCACATGTTTCTTGTATTTTTCTTTAGCTTCCTAGAAAATACCAAATACGAGGTACATTTATTTCAATTTTCTTTTATGTTGATGTCATCTGACGTTTGCATTGAGAGTTTGAGATTGATTAACCGGAAAAATATTTCCTACCAGAACTTTTTTCGTCACTGCTCACTAAATTTAGAATTCGAGATTTTTGATTAAGAGATAGTGAAAAGATCATATTCATCGGTAGTGGTCGAATCAGAATTAAGAATATTTTGAGTTTATTGAGTATACCCTAGACCTGATCATTTCTTTTTGGATTTATAAATTTAAAAAAAAAAACAAGTGGACTGCCGCAAATTGAAGGTTGGCTAGCTGTACATCTCTGGTTTCCATCAAGAGACGATATAGACTCATTGCTTAATCTATTGGACTATTACTTCATTCGTCTGAAAAGGAAAATTGGTGTCCAGAACATAAAGATCAATGTATTTAATTTGAGTATGAGCTCATAAATTAATTTCTTAAATTTTGTTGAAGTAATTGTAGACTTAATTACACTTTAAAGTTAAAGGTAATCTAAAGTGATTTTAAGAAAATCATAATGAAAAAAAAAACTTCTTGACTTTATACATATTACATAATAATAGTGTCAATTTCTTTTAGATAAAGCAAATACTTCTTTACATTGCTATGTAAGAAAAAAAATAATCCAAATGTGACATACGTACATAGTTCTAAAATGTCTAAATCTGTCCGAATTATCATTTGTCGGGCTCGTTGGCGTATCTTTGCTGGTTTAAATATGTCATTAATCTATATTGGTATTTTTGCATCTAAAGCGAGTACGTTTAATTTTATAATTTTTAGATATATTACCAAATCCAAGGATTAAACCCACTTTTTACATGTCAATGAAACTTTTATATTCAGAATTACTAGTCAAGTAGTCATTTATTTGGCTCCGCTTAAAGAACGGAAAGTGCCACTCTAACTCAATAAAAATCAAGAGGTAATGCAATTAAATGAATTACCAAACAAATAATGCACCGTTAAGAAAAGTTAAATTATGCCAAAAAGATGAAAGGATCAGCCATTGATATGTAGCTGAGTCAGCTGAGCTCTTAAGTTTTATTGTGTTAGCCTAATTCTAATTACATAATTATAATTGTTGAATGCAGTGGATCTGAACTGTATGACATTTAGTTTCCATAAATTCTTCCTCATCTGGAATTTATAAAAAATAATTTCAATCTGATATCAAGATTATCTTACGTGGATCAATATCATAAACCTTCATTTAGTTTTTGAAAAATAGAATAGCAAACAGTTGAATTATATTTTTAGATTAAAATTTGTAACGTTGAGCCATGTACTCCCTTAAAATGATCACCCTTTGAAAAAAAAGACATTTAAGTGCAAATTTCTACATATAATACTTTAGTATACAAAAATTGTAAAAAAAATTAAAATTCAGCTTTGTCAAACGGAGTTGGACTAAATCCAGTAACATCCAACTTTTGCCAAATCTAGAATAAATATGTTGGTAAAAGAAAATCCGATAGTTTGATATAGTAATTTTTGTCCTTAAGGAATTTAAATTTCCATTATATATTGCTACTGAATTTGTGGTAGAAATCGTCCAAAATTTTACTAAACCTAATGAAATAAAAATTCAACGAAAACTTAAATTTCCGCGATAACCTGATAGAAAAGAGAATTAAGATAATTAGTCCAACGATGTTATACACACTTATATTTTGTCTCCTAAACAGACTTACCTAAACGTCAACTCTTTTAACAGACACTTTAAAAGTTATCTTTTAGAGACCGTTTGGATTAGCAGATTTGAAATAGATGATAAGCATTAGGTGCTGAAAAACATTTTTAAGTGCTGAAATTAATTTAATAAATAAGCAGTTACGTGTTTGGATATATAAATAATACGTAAAAAAGTGCTGATAGTTAAACTCTTTTTTCTGTTTAAATGACTTAATAACCTAAGAACTGTTTACATAATTTCTTCAAAATTTTAGATTCCAAAGCAATTCAACTACAAAATATTCTATTTGTCATTTTATTTTAAATACAATTGTGATTAAATACGATAATTTTTATGATAAATATAATTTATTTTATGATAAGCATATAATCATAAATACACCAACAAAATTCAAGTCTAATTAACGTAAATTTAGGTAAATTTCGAACATGCTGTTGTAATAAAATTAGGTTAGATAAAGTCCTGAATTTCAAAAATTACCAAAATAGCAAAAAAACCAAAAAAAGAAATCCAAATCCTAACGTACCAAAAATTCCAGTTGCATATGAACAGCAACAAAATGAGCTGATACGATCACACGTCAGTGACAGCTTTAATCCCACATGAATCCTAATCTTCTCCAATTTGTTTACAGCTTTTGTCTCAAATATCTTTTTTTCTTTTTTATCATTATATAATCCCAATCATTGATATGAAGTACATAAAGTTCTCAAAAATATCTATCTTTGCCCCTCTACTGCATGCATATAAATACCTACCAAAATTTCACTCTTTTTCTCAACACATAAGAACTGAACAAGCAAAAATCCTTTGTGTTCATTACACTCAAAAAACCATCTTGAGTTCTTGAGTTTTTTCTCTTTTATTTAAGAGGAAAAACAAAAGAACAAAAAAGAAAAAAAAAAAACCACCCCCTTTGTTTAATTTGTCTACATTTTTCAAGAATGGCAATTGATGAGTGCAAAGATATTGAAAATGGGCTTGAGAATTTGGAACAACCTTTTCTTGAAAATGCTAAAATTCTTGATTCTGATGATGAAGAATTAATTAGTAAGGAAAATGGATCCATTGGAATGGTTTTGTTAAGCACTTGTGTTGCAGTTTGTGGTTCTTTTGAATTTGGATCATGTGTAAGTATTTCTATTTTCCTTTTGATGTTCTTTCTTTTTTTTCAGTAAAGGGAACAGGAAAAATATTTGTTTTTTTTTTTCTCTTTTCTAAAACGATTTATTAACTGGTTTTCCTTTTTTTTTCCTTTTGTTTTTTTGGTCAGGACCATGAAATTTTAAAACAAAAAACATCTAAAGCCTAAGAAAAAAAAGGTTTGTTTAGCTTAAGTTAATGTTTTTTGCAGGTGGGATACTCAGCACCTACACAATCTGAAATTAGGAATGACTTGAATTTAACACTTGCTCAGGTTTGCATTTTTTTACATTCTTGATAAAGATTCTCTCTTTTTTCTGTTTTTTTTTGTGTGGAGAAATTTAAAACTAAAGCTAATTTTTTTTATTTGTTTTTGCAGTACTCCATTTTTGGTTCCATCATCACAATTGGTGCCATGATTGGAGCTATCACAAGCGGCAGAATTGCAGATTTCATTGGTAGAAAAGGGGTATGTAACTATTACGAAAGAAACCAGAAGAAAAAAAAAAAAAAATAATAATAAGCATTTAAATAGCAAAATTAATGAGATTTTGGTTTTCTCTTTTTGGGAACAGGCCATGAGAATGTCAGCTATTTTCTGTATCACAGGATGGCTTGCTGTCTATTTTTCCATGGTATGAATCTTTATGCAATTTTTGTTTTTATTAAAAAAAGTTTGAAAAGAATTGACTCTTATAATTAGATCTCCAAATAATTATTTCTATGTTTGGTTATGATGCAGGGAACTTTGACACTTGATGTGGGAAGATTCCTCACAGGATTTGGCATTGGAATATTCTCTTATGTGGTAAATATTTAAAATTTTCTCTTTTTTCCACTCTCGGCTTACTAAAATAAATTCAAGAATTATTAAAATCTTGGAATATTACTGAACCCTTTTAATTTCTTGGTAAATTAACCAGGTACCTGTGTTTATTGCTGAAATAGCTCCAAAGGATCTCCGTGGAGGATTGACAACAATTAATCAAGTAAGAAAACCAAAATTGTAGTACTTAATGAAATTTTAATCAAGTCAAAAAATTTAAATAGAAAAATAAATTTAAAAAATGGTAAAAGTAAGATATAATTATAAGTTGTGGGGTTCTGACTTTTGTAGTTTGTTCTGTCTGCAGCTTATGATTGTTTGTGGTGCATCAGTTGCATATTTACTAGGAACAGTTATATCATGGAGAAATCTTGCTTTAACTGGTAATTCTTGAATTATTTCATAAATATTAAAAAATTGAAGTTGATTTGAATAGAAGGGTTGCCTTGGAGCAACTGTAAAGTTGTTTCCGTATCTTCGTGTGACCTATATGTCACGGTTTCGAGCCGTGGAAGCCGCCACTAATGCTTGCGTTAGGGTAGGATGCCTATATCACACCCCTTGGGGTGCGGCCCTTCCCCGGATCTCGCATGAACGCGGAATGCCCTTTTTCTTTATTTGAATACAGAACAGACGAGGACTAATTAATTGTTTCATTTGTAGGAATTCTACCATGCACTTTCTTGTTAGCAGGTCTATTCTTTATTCCAGAATCTCCAAGATGGCTGGTGAGTTTTCAACATAATATGAATTATTCAAGTTTCATCATCATGATTGAACAAAGTTTAATAAATATATGGTAATTAAATTGCAGGCCAAAGTAGGTCTTGAGAAAGAATTTGAAGTGGCATTAAGAAAACTTCGCGGTAAAGATGCGGATATCTCTCTTGAAGCTGCTGAAATCCAGGCTTATGTTGATACTCTTCAAACCCTCCCTAAAGCTAGAATCTTTGACTTATTCGGTAGCAAATACATTCGATCTGTGATCGTAAGTCATTTCCTTAAAATGTCCTAAATATTATGCATTTTGAAGAACTTACACTGAGCTAATATTCTTGAAATTCTTCAACTTTTTATTCCAGATTGGTATTGGATTGATGGTATTCCAACAGTTTATAGGAATAAATGGTATTGGTTTCTATGCTAGCCAGACTTTTGAGTCAGCAGGTAAATGTGCCTTTCAGCTTAAACTGTGGCAAAGAAGATCTCAAATACTTTGACTAATAATGTGAATGAAAAATGCAGGACTTAAAAATAGCAATATTGGGACTATTGCCTATGCCATAGTTCAGGTTTGTAAATCTTGATAACTTGCTAAAACTGAAAAAATCTCAATAGAGTGAAAATTTGGATCACTAACATTCTATTCTTGTTATTTTGACAGGTCCCTATTACTGTAGTTGGGGCATTTTTGATGGATAGATCAGGAAGAAGGCCACTTCTTATGGTATATTTACATTTTACAAAAGGGCACTGAATGAAATCTTTGACGATAGATCGCTGAAAAGAGTTGTTTCATTGTTTTCAGGTGTCAGCAACAGGGACATTTATTGGTTGTTTTATGACTGGAGCTTCTTTCTATCTAAAGGTAACTTACTGAACTCAAAAAATGTCAATCAGTTAACGAAAGTTTTGGCTTCATATTTTAATAATCCATGTTCTTTTTGTTAATCAGGGAAATGGCATCTTACTTGAATGGGTTCCAATTCTAGCTGTATCTGGTGTCCTGGTAAATCTTCAATTGCCATATGATATTTTTACTCCCATTCTTGTGAGAATGTAAGTCTATATTCTACTTCACAGGTGTATATATCCGCGTTTTCAATTGGAATGGGAGCAGTTCCGTGGGTTATTATGTCAGAGGTAATTCAGTCCGCTGCTTTGTTTTTGTGTACTAGCAGAAGAACCGTGTTCAAGTAGTGTTCCATCCGTTACATATTATTCAATATTGGTTGATTAGTCTGAGGTTATTGACATGAGCTTGAACTCGATATACATTTTATTATATCAAATCCTGGAAAGAGTGAAGCTACTTTCGATGGATCCTTGATCACTTCAATGCATACATTGTATAAGCAATGTCTTTAAAAAATCAGTTTACTTAAATTTGTGCTATTATTTTGCAGATTTTTCCGATTCATGTAAAAAGTGCTGCTGGAAGTCTGGTAGTGTTAGTGAACTGGTTGGGCGCGTGGGCGGTTTCCTTCACTTTCAGTTTCCTCATGGCCTGGAGTGCCACTGGTAAAGAGAAATTTCCATCAACTCTGCATATATGTGAACTGTCACACCCTTAAGAATTTCCTTTTAACTGAATTTTTAATTTGTTTTTTTTCTTTTTCTTTTTTTTTTTTTTTGGAATTTTCAGGTACATTTATGCTATATGCTGGGTTCTGTGTACTCACTATACAATTTGTAGCAAAGGTAGTGCCAGAAACAAAGGGGAAAACATTGGAGGAAATTCAGGCCATCATTAATTCTTGAACGTGGGAAACAAGAATATGAAAGTACGTAGATGCACATACTCATGACTGGAAATTTTACAATGTAGTTTAGTCAACTAGATGAGCGGATGGCATGCATAAATCGAGAAATGGTTCAAATTTTTTGACGATGGAAAAATGGAACCTTCCCTCTCAGAACCAAATTGGATCCGCCAAGAAGAGGGGAATTCAACAGTGTAGATTTTATTCTAGGTTTTGTAGCAAATGAATTGTTTTGATCTGTTGTTGTATTGTATCCAAAAAAAAAAAAAATGTTGTTCAATGAAAGATGAATTTAAAAGCTGCATTCAGAAGAAAAACAAAACCATTTCTTGATCCTGTTTTAGCACAATCATTTGTTGGACTACTCACTAAGTATTGGATTTTAGTGCTTTAGTCCAATGCCAAAGCCATATAGATACGCCACTGTGGTTTAAACTAAAAAAGAATTTATCCACAGTTTGTATTTACACCAAACTAATCTATCTAGCTATATTATATTAAAAGCACAAAAACTTTAGCGAAATGTGTTAGTCTTTTTTACCCTTAAAAAATATGCTTCATATTGGAGAAAACAATAATTTAGTTATGTTTCTAACTTTTAGGACTTCAAAATTAGTTAATGTCACGACCCAAAATCCCTCCGAAGGAGCTTGCACCTAGTCTCTAAAACTAGGTAAGTCTAACACATACCGAAATGATAACAGTTTCTACTAAACAGCTATTAAACATGAACCGGAAATTTCTCGCCAATAGTCTCAAAATGATACAATATCCCAAAACCGGTAGTACAAGTCATAAGCCTTTTTAAGAGTAACTATATATAATGAATACATCACTGTTCCGGAATAATAGGAAACTATGGAAATAAATACAACAGAAAGTGACTTTGGAGCCTGCGAACGTCCAGCAGGTGTATCTTGAAGTCTCCAGCCGCACAAGCATAAGTCTCAAAACCAACTCGATCAGAAGTACCTGGTTCTGCACAAAAATGTGCAGAAGCGTAGCATGAGTACACCATAGTGGTACCCGGTAAGTATCAAGCCTAACTTCGGTAGAGTAGTGATGAGGCCAGGTCAAGACACCTACCGGACATGTAAACCTGTGCAGGATATACATAAAGCTAACAAGGAAAGAACATCAATTTAAGGCCAATAGTAGAAGGATTCCAAATTACATTCAACATCGAAAATAACGGGAACACGAATAGCAACGAGAAACAACCAAATAATTAAGTAACAACACAGCCGGGGTACATGTGAGATATGAATGTGTCCAAGCAAGGGAAATCGATGACAACTTAATCAATCAAATCATTTTTAATGCACGAATTTCAACAAGAATTATCCCAAATAAAACTTCTCGTAATCTCAGATCATAAGTCCCAATTTCCAAACTTTACACACAAGGCACCTTGTGCCCACATTTTTCCAAATTACCTCCGCACGGTAAAATTCATGTGCTACCCGGTACATATTATCCGTGTCAAATGATAATTAAGATGTTCAAGAGATTTATTTATATATCGTAAACGTAAAATTTCAGTTTCTGAACCAAGGAGGAGATCAATGAGAAAATGAGTTTATTTTAGAAATCATTTAGGTGAAGAAAATAACATTTGCAAATAAAATAAAACATCGAATAAGCTACCGAATTTTAATATAGAATTTATTAATTAAAATATAATAACAATTCTTATTAAGTAAAGCAAAACATCAGACAGGGTAAAGAGATTAAGTTGAGAAATCAATTAAAGTGAAATATGAGAACTATTACAAATAGTAAAGTACCGAATAAAACGACGAGTTTTAATTTAAGAGTCACATAAGGTAAGCATGTTAACAATTCTTTTATTTAAAATCGTTATGTTTCCAACAACTCAACAGGGTACGAGATGGCTCTAGAAAATTTTTCTCCAACCTCTCACTAAATAAGAACAAAACCTTTTTGACTTGCCCTATCCTGCATCAGTAGTTATGGCAAATCTAAGCCAATTGAGCCAAATCCCTCCCAAACCTCCTGATATAGGCACTAATTCTACTATCACAAATCCTAGTAAACTTGGTTCAAGTTTCAAAGAAAAATTAATAGCATGTGAGCATGGTACTTTAATTAATGTTCACATTCCCTCCTTTGATAGTTATCCATCATTAGCACAAGGATCAAGTCTGCCACCCTCAAATACAAACTCTATTGGTAGTCACCAAATTCAGCTCTCGTTGGAAGAACAGGAATGCATCTATCAACCATGGAAATATTCAGTCATCATCAAGCTACATGGTAAGAGAATTCAACACAATCTTCTCAAAAGAAAAGTTCAAGAGATTTGGAAAATCCAAGAAAATTTCCCCTTAATCGACCTAGGGGCGGACTATTACATTACTAAATTTAATTGTGAGGAACACATGTTTAAAGTACTTCACTATGGTCCGTGGTTTATTTTTGGGCATCTCCTTTCAGTCCAAAGGTGAAAACCAAACTTCGTAGCAGCGGAAGCTAACAATCTACTAACAATTGTTTGGGTTCGATTACCACAATTACCAACCGAGTTCTACGATGGAATCATACTAGAAAAAATTGGTAATACCATTTGGAGACTATTAAAAATAGATGCCTGCACATCCTCTACCCTACGGGGTCGTAATGCAAGATTGTGCATGGAATTACCACTAGAGGAGCCAGTCATTCCATTTATTCATATTGGAAGCCATAAGCAAAATGTATTATACGAGGGTGAACATTTCTTTTGCAAAAGCTGTGGGAGGATAGGCCATCTAGATGCAAAATACCTACATAACAAGACCACGCCAACAGAGCCATCAACTCTGCAAAACCACTCAACTCCCCAACCAAATGTAAGCAATGACGCCCAGGAAATCAAAGAAGCAGTATGGCAGACGGTTAGCTTTACAAAGAAAAAGAGAGCCAATGGGAGAAGGAATGAGGCAATCCAAAAGCCAGGTATAATTAATAATCTACCACATGGAATACCAGGTATGTTATCCTCTTCTCAACACCCTAATACCAGCTTTAACTCTACTAGCAACCAAAAATTTTTTAAAACAAAGATCTCCTCTTATGAAAATGATCTTTCTACAAACGAACACGTTACCAGGGGAAACAAGTTTGTTGCTTTGGATAATCCGCCTATAGACCAAAATAAAAAAGAAATCAAGAGTTCAAAATTATTTTTAGACTATAAACCTAAGGACGTGGCCTCAAAAAACCTGGCCAATAACTATGTGTCCTCCATAAAGGAGGCTAATTTAAATGCCATGCAACCAACTAATATAGCTACTAATGTTGATAATAATTCTAATCCCTCCCCTAATACTCACCAACAATGTGATGTAGATCATTTAAACACGGAGATTAACCCCCCAATACTCTCTCATTAAACAATATTAATTGCATGGATGAAGATACGAACCCACAACACCTGTCCCACAACATCTCATTGGATGAACAAATGGCCAATGCTGCTAAACACGTGCCTAACTCCATCAACACCCCAAATCCTATTAAAATCTCATCTCCCACTAGTAACCAAAGCATGCAAATAGATTCAATAATTACCACCCTATCTAAACCAACCTCTCAAAACCCTACCCCTTCTATCAACTTAGTTCAGATAGATAATATAAAACAACAATCCGGCAATAAAAATGCCAAGGATACCAATTTCCCATTGGAGAAGATTCAGTTTTGTTCAAATTCTAAGACACCAACGAGCACACACAATGGCCAGTCCTCCACCAAATTCGGCCACTCAGACAAGAAACCAAACAATCTTCTTCATTCAACCACTCCTACCTCAAGACCATCAACCATTGTCCTGGATAGAGCAAGCTCTAATGGCTCATGCAATATCATTCAACATGATCTTAGATGGCCAGGAGACGATAATCATTCTCCAAAACTCACACTTGCCCAGCTAGTATCCGAAGGGATGCACATGGCCATGAGCAACTACCAAAATCATGTTTGGTTGAACAACATCCTTCATCCACTAGCTCCTTCAATGAATGCCAACCAAGCCCAAATAATGAGAAACCAGTAGAATCTGCCTCCACATTTCAATCCTCTACCACCAAAAAATATGTTAATGGAACTTTCTTTCTTCCCACCAGGAGAGATTCTCGAACATGAATCCAATCTTCATGCCGTGGTATGTAGCTCAAGACCAAGCGCAAAACCAAGCCTTTGTTCCACCACCAGTGAACCAGGCACCCCCACCACCCCCTCCTAATGTGCTAGGACCAGAAGATCACCAAGAGGTGAATGTAGAAGAGATGAACCTGCTAGGGTCAGAGGAAATAGTGGAATTTTCAAGTCTAAACCAAGTAAAGGTATATCTCTTCAGGGAGATGCAAGAGAAGAGGTATATTCTTAGTTGCCCCCCAGCCCTATACAAATGCTCGAAGGACATCAGGCCCCCACAGGATCCAACAGCGGGGAGCCATGCAATGATATTGGTTCCATCACTAAGGAGAAACCCAGTGCTCCATGCACGGATGGAGAATGGCTCCACAAACAACCATGCAACGATGATGTATCGACCAACTAATATCATAATATGGAACAAACGTGGTGGTAATAATGATAACTTTTGTATTAACTTTAGGAAAATGGTTGATACCCATAGGCCATGCATGGTGACACTATTGGAAACTCGAATGGAAAATCACATTTATCTATTAAGTGATTTTGCATTTTCGGAGATGATTGAGGTTTCTTCTGAAGGGCAGGCTGGGGGTATGGTCATCTTATGGGATTCCAGCGTTGTGAAGGTTCACAACTTTGTTAGGAGAAACCAAGAAATCCATTCCACTGTTGAGGTACTTCCTACTCAAACTATTTGGCTCTTCTCCTCTATTTATGCTAGCACTAAATTAGATAAAATATGTGATTTATGGAATAATATAGAAAATATCCATAGAAACTATAAGGGTCCTTGGCTTTTAGGAGGAGACTTTAATGATATTTTTAGTGCTAATGACAAATTTGGAGGGAACCCCATTAATCGTAGATGTAACTCCTTATGGATTAGTATCAACAATTGTAACCTTATGGATTTAGGCTATAAGGGTTGCAAATATACTTGGTCTAATCATAGAAAAAGATCTAGTGGTTTAATCATGGAAAGGCTTGATAGAATTTTTGTTAATAAAGATTGGTTATCCTTATTTCCTAAGGCTGTGGTTATACATCTTCCCAAAACTCATTCTAATCATAATCCCTTATTAATTAGTCCTACCCCGAAAAATGTGAATCATAGTGGTAAACCTTTTAGATTGGAAACTATTTGGTGTAGACACCCCGACTTCATCAACATT